CCCCTGCACAGCAATTACAGCTGGCACTCACTGAGTGAGCCCGCTGTGGGCCCGACCCACTTCAGGTGATTCACACTAACTTACTTAACCCTTACATCAGCCGTATAAAGGAGGTAGTTCTGCTGGCTTACTGGCTGTCATGCCACTTGTACAGATGAGGAAACCGGGCCTTACAGAAGCTTAAATATCTTGCCAAAGGCATCACAGTTCACACAAAATACTGGCAATTGAATCTCAGGCCTTCATACTGAACTACATCCTCCAGCCCTTTTTTAAAAAAAAATTTTTTTTTTATTTTTTTGAGACAGGGTCTCATGTAGTTCAGGCTGGTTTTGAACTCATTACTGTATATAGTGTAGTCTGGCCTCAAACTCATGGCAGTCCTCCTGCCTCAGCTTCACAAGGGCACCAGGCCATTTTTTTTTTTTTTTTTTTTTTTTTTTTTAAGATTATTTTGAGACAGGGTCTTGCTAAATTAACCAGGCTTGGCTCAAACTTAGAAAACCTACCTCCACTTCCCAGAGGGAAGGAATTTTAGGCATGTACCACTACATACAGTTTAATCCAGACTTCTGATGTATCATGATGCTCTGTTGAACGCTGACTATATGCAAGGTGCTCCCTCTCTTCCTTCCTTTCTCTTTCTCTCTCTTTCCTTTTCTTTTTTCTTTTTTCCTCATTGAGTTTATTGGTACATTTTAGGCATACAGTACAGTTACATTCATTATTGGGATCTTGTACCTCTACATGACAGGTCTTGGCTTCTTTTCTTTTTTCTTTTTTCCTCATTGAGTTTATTGGTACATTTTAGGCATACAGTACAGTTACATTCATTATTGGGATCTTGTACCTCTACATGACAGGTCTTGGCTTCTTTTCTTTTTTCTTTTCTTTCCACCAAACTCTGCAGTCAGTATTTTCACCCTATGTACAGAGGACGATGAGGCTTAGGGAGGTTACATAACATTCCTAAGGGCACAGGATGCATGAAAAGAGGAAGCGGAAGCCCGATGATACATAATAGGAAACCGGGAGATTGACCTTTTGCAAATTGGAAGAAGATGGAGAGATAGAGGAAGGAGGAGGGGAGGCGAGAAGGGAACATAAAAAGAATTAAGATTGTTAATTCACAGGTACCAGCTCCCCCTGGTGAATGCAATCATTATGTACTGCAAGCATGTACTGATAAAAGTTAAAAATAGAAAGAATTCCAAGCCATGCTTGGACTCCAGAGCCCCTGGTCCTCTTGTTCCCACCCACCTCCCTGTCCTGCCTCCTTCCAGTCCACCAGCTTGGAAGTCCGCAGCCTTCAAGCTTTTTCAGTTGCCCCTTGGGGTGGGGAGTAGGGCTTGGGGGGGTCAGGGGGGGGTCTTAACCAGCACTGAGTGGGTACGAGGAGGGTGAATCCAGCCCCAAGTGCCCGTAAGGCCGCCAGGGAAGCTGCCTTATCTGGGCATCAGGTGTTTCCCCCCTCATGGGGCTTCCCAGCAGTGAGATGGGGAATCCATTCCTTCAGATTCTGCCTCTAAGAAGCCAAGTGTTGCGTTTCTACGTGGCTATTAAGCCCAGCTCAGCAAGGATTCTCAGACTTGCTGCAGGCAGGCACATTTTCTCGTTTTTACGATTCCTGTGATTTGGTGTGTATTTCCTGTGATTTGGTGTGTATATCCCGGCGTCTCCTTTGCAGAGCACAGGCTGGTTTCCTGTCACGCCCTTGTGGCCTAAAAGCCATTTTATTTTCCCTCCCTGAATGTGCCTGTAAGAGCTTGAACTCAGGAGCCAGATGCTTGGTTCAAGACCCAACGCCTTCATTTACTATTCCTCAGCTTTGTGACTCTGGGCGAGTTACCAAACTCCCTGTACCTCAGTTTCCTTATCCGTAGTATAAGGTTCTTGTACTACTTCCTGTCAGTTACTGCGACAGTAAGTGAAGGCATGAACGTTGGTGCTCAGTGGATGGGAGCACCATCTTCACTCCATTTCTTCCTAGCCGGGCGTGGTGGCGCACACCTGTAATCCCAGCATTGGGCGGCTGAGGCAGGAGGACCGCTAGGAGTTCAAGGCCAGCCTGGTCTACATAGTGAGACTCTCAAAAAGAGAAAAGAAAAAAAAATCACAGATCTGGCTTTGTTAGGTTAGAGTGTGGCCAAGTCTCCAAAGGACCAGCACCTCGACATAATATTGATATCTGGTTCTGGGTTTTGGTTTATTTTTCTATTTGCCCTTGTCCTTGTTATCAAGGAATTTCATCCATGTGACCTTAGGCTACTTGATTCCTTCATCCTCAATTTCTGTTTTTATCGATTAAAGTGAGTAACAGTACCTGCCTCTTAAAAGTTGAAGTCAAGGTTAGGGGAAGGGCCTGGCATATAGTAAGTGTGCATTTAGTCGCTCCTGCCATTAGATCAGCCAGACAGCATGGTGCAGAGGTTTTGGTGATGTGCTCATGTTGGCCTCCAAGTGGAGGACCAGACACACAAACTGTAGAGCTATCTCTGTCTGCCACTGCTGAATGGGGGCAGGGTAAATTCTACCCCTAGCAGCATCCCTGCCCCTTTATTTGTTGTGCGAGGGATCAACCCCACGACCTTGGGCATACTAAGCACGTACCTCACCACTAAGCTACATCCCAGCCCACGTGTGGATCCTTTTTACCGGAAATGGCTTGTGGTCAGTGCTGAAAGAGGCTCACCAGCCTGCAGGGGCCAGTTAGAAAGTTAGAGGTCATTTGTGATTGTCCTAGTGACAGGGGTGTCGGGCGAGTGCTGTAATGCTGGGGAAAGTTGTATTCACACTACCCACCCCCTTGAGAAAGCTGGGTCTAAACATTAGGCCTTTAGTCAGAACCCCTGGCCCTGCATCTCTCACCTCCAAACAGCCTGCCTCTCCTCACCCTGAGTTTGCTGCATAGTCTTCCAGCAGGGTGCCCACGTGCATGCCGCCTGGCCTCACGCTGCTCCCTCCCTGGGCCTCCAAAGGCCAGTGGGCATTTCCCAAGGCTCATTGCAGCACTTCCAGCATCCCTGATACGGCATGCAGCCACGAACACCACGATAATGGGTTGGCATCCAGTCTGATCTGCTTAACACCACCGCTGCAATAACCAAGTCACCCGCATTTGGATTTAGTCACTGTGGAATTGTCACTGGGAACACAGATACTTCATACATAAAAGTCCAATCACAAAGTTGAAATATAAACATTTATTACAAGAGCAAAATGCAAAATAATAAATGGCAGTCAACATTCAAATCAGAAAATAGGAAGCCATTAAGACGAATATTACAGATAATGTATACATTATAGTAATGGGAAGAATAATGCATTCTTTTGCAGCAAAGAACAGTCTAGCAGCTGGTGGTGCTGAGAGGCACCTTATCAGATGACTATGAAGCTCCGTATTTTAAAAATACTGTTATTGTTGGATTTTTTTTGTTTGTTTATTTTGGGGACGGTACTAGGGACTGGAGCCAAGGGTGCTCTGCCACTGAATTATAGCTCCAACAACTTTTGTATTTTGAGACAGGATCTTGCTGAGTGACCCAGGCTGACCTTGAACTTGGTAGTCCTCCTGCCTCATACTCACAAGTAGCTGGGATTACAGGCTTGTGCCACTGCACCTAGTTAATGACTTTTTTCCTCTGGTACTGGAGATCAAACTCAGGACCTTGTGACTATGAGGCAGGCATGGTGCCACTGAGCTAAATCCCCAGCTCTTCTAGGTATTTTTTTTTTAATGAGGAATTAATTTTTCTATCTCAATGATCCTTTCCTTGATGGTGAATTTTGCTTTAGCCAAATGTTATTATCTTGGGGGGTGCTAGATGATAGTACCCAGGGCCTTCTGCATACCCCACCCAGCCCCCCAAATTTATTTTTAACACTTGGCCAAAGGCTGCTTTTGGTTCATTTCTCTCACTCAGTTGCAGAGGTCATTCTCAAACCTTCATCTTGGAATACTCGGTTCACACCAGCTAGGGCTAAAAAACTGTCTGCCTACTGCAGGAGACGCAGTGTCCTTGTCCCTGAAGAAGTTCCTGAAGCAAGGCACCTATGACGTGCACCTTTCTCTGTCTGACCACGGCAACAATGAGCAGCTGACAGTGATCACAGCCGTCGTGTGTGACTGCCACGGCCATGTGGAGTTCTGCCCTCCGCACTGGAAGGGCGGGTTCATCCTTCCCATCCTGGGGGCTGTCCTGGCTCTGCTGTGTGAGTACCACACATGGGGTAATGAAGAGATCCCACTTTACTCTGAAGTCCTGGGACTGGGGGCCACCAACACTGCCCGTCCATTCTTTAAATTCTTGTAATTCCACGAGTGCCACTCAGTCAATAGTTATTTGTGAGGTTTCTGGAATATGTCATTCATTGGTGACACAATGGTGAGTAAGTAAACAGACTTGTCTTGTGGGAGCTGTGGTCTGGGTGGTCTTTTTGGCTAATAAGCAGCACCAGAAATTTGTTAGAAAGACTGATACTCCAGCCTCACTCCAGGTCTGCTGACCCAGAAATGCAGGGATGGGACCCAGTAATCTGTGTTTTAACAAGTCCCCAAGAAGCTCTGATACGTGCTAGACTTTGAAAACTACTGGACTGGTAGGCAGAAGTGTTTCGTTAAATTTATTGGTCTGGGGTGGAAGTACAGCCCCAAAGGTACAGCATGAATTTAGCATATACAAACCCTGAGTTTGATCCCCGGCACCACCAAAACAAAACAAAAAAACAAACTGAATTTCTTTGCTCTAAGGTAGAACTTATCATAGTTGCTTTTTCCAAGTTGCTTAACTTGGTCCTTACACAGAAAACATGCACTGAACCAAATGTGAGTGTGACAAGAGCAAGTTTTTATTAATCAACATACAGGACACCAAGCACAGCTTTACGCCCTGGGGTGCAGCCCTTCTAAAACTGCAGAATGAGCGAGCAGTGTAGCAGAGAAACAGGTGTGGTGTAGAGGAGGAGAAAGTGGGAGCAGGAACGCAGTGGTAGGATGTGCGGGAAAGGCCTTCCTGTGAAGAGGATGATCGAGTAAGATCTGAAAGAGGCGAGGAAGCCAACCATGCAGATATCCAGGGCACAGCACATGCAGAAGCCCTGAGCCAGCTTTGTGCTCGGTGTGTTGAAACTGCAGTGGCTGGAAGGGGAGATGCAAGAGGGAAAAAGAGGAAATGAGGTCAGAGGGATGTCGGGGCGGCAGATGGATCGTGGTGTTGGCCCTTGTAGTCAGGACTCTGGATGAAGTGGGAAGTCCTGCCCAGGAGGTCTGGGCCACAGCAGTGGTGTGAGATGACCTGCGTTTTGCAAGATCCCTACCGAACAGACTGTGGGGACGTGGAGGTGGAGGTGAGGTGGGGAGAGCATGTGGGAGGCTGATTCATAATCTCAGATGAGACGATGGTTGGTGGCGTGGAGCCAGATCGTGATACTCAAGACAGAGTCGGTGCAGATTGGTGGGACAGGAGGAGCCAACAGTCATTCCAAGGCTTTGAGCCCGAGCTCGTAGAAACGTGGAGTTTCTGTTAACTGCTTTGGGAAGGACCGAGGTAAGAGATTTGTGACTGGGCAGTTAGACACCTAAGCCTTGGCTTTAGGTGATCAATCCAGTTGGATTCTTACCTTTCCCCCAGAGCTAATGGGACGGAAAAGGAGAGAAGAGAAGTTACCTTTTATGTGTATTTGATTCCCAAAGGAAGCTAGCTCTGTCTTGTCTGGCCAGAGAGGCAGGGTTCCATCAGCAGCAGCAAATAAGTAATACTCAGTGGCTGCATTCTCTTTCGTGGAACTACCAGAGGAAGTGCAAGAGGGAGACCCCTGAACACAGACTTAATTAGGCGTGGTCATGTAGCTAGGGAGAGCAGCCAGGGTTAGTTGGCCATTTCCCCCAATGTATAAATATTCTGCCAGCCTTCAAACAGTATCACTAAAGCCAATCCCTCTCTTAGAATCGCAACATGGAGGGCTGGGGGTTTAGCTGAGTGGCGCTGTTACCTGCTTTGCAAATGCAAGGTCCTGAGTTCCATCCCCAGTACTGAAAAAAAAAGAATTGCAGCATAGCATTTGCCCTCAGTATGAATGTACTATACCATAGCCTGGCGTGGGATAATATGCCTATAATCCTACACTTGGGAGGCTAACGCAGAAAGATCTCGAATTCAAGGCCAGCCTGGGCTACACAGTGAGACTCTCTCTCTAAAAAAAAAAAGAAAGAAAAGAAAAGAAATTACTATACCATATCAAAGTTGTATTATCTTGTTTGTAACTTCAAGTCTGTGGCTAGCTTAGGGGACATCCGGTGGTGACTAAGAGTCTCATTGAAAGTTAACTGCTAGGAGGTTCCCAGTCCACAAAAGGATTTTCCTAGGAACTAACACTCCTGGTGCAATGCTGGGTTTCAGCGCCAGAAAAACCAATATTGCTGTTATGGGAAGCTAGACAGTAAATAAAACGAGGGTTCCAAAACTAGGTAGGGGCTCTGAGGGCCGTGGTGGCCGCGTGGTCAGGGCTGAGTATTCGTATTTGTTCATTCCTGCAGTCCTCCTGCTGGTGCTCCTCCTGCTGGTGAGAAAGAAGCGGAAGGTCAAAGAGCCTCTTCTGCTCCCAGAAGACGACACCCGTGACAATGTCTTCTATTATGGTGAAGAGGGTGGTGGTGAAGAGGACCAGGTAGGTCACTGTGGGGCCCGAGGATTGGAAGGTAGGACTCCCTCAAGGCCACTGGCAGGAGTGATTGGATCAACCAATTAATGGTGTTAGCTCCAGCCTGCCAGCCCTGGCAGAAGTGTCAGTATTCATGCAGGATTGACCACCAGCTTCCTCTTCTGAGAGGTGGCCTGTTCCATTGCTGTAGTGTGACCAGGCCAAGTGGACCTTGAATCTGAACTTAATTTGGAAGGACAAGGGATGGGGGAAACACTGTCCTTCAGAAATCTCTGACACTATACCAGTCTTCTAAGGTCTACTCATGGGCCAGGGCGCCCAGGTGGTGAGATGTAACAGTGGGATTAATTCCATAATCTCCTTGGTTTTTGTAAAGGACTATGACATTACCCAGCTGCACCGGGGTCTAGAGGCCAGGCCTGAGGTGGTTCTTCGCAATGATGTGGCACCAACCTTCATGCCCACCCCCATGTACCGTCCCCGGCCTGCCAACCCAGATGAAATCGGCAACTTCATTATCGAGGTAAATAAGACCTGGCAGGCCAGCCTAGGGCAGTCCTTAGTCAAGCCTAACACAAACCGCAGAGGCAACCAAGCATGGGCTTGGGGGCTTGGCTCTAGGTTCAAATCCTGATTTCACTATCAAATAGCTATGTATCCTGTCTATATTTGAATACCTCTGGGCTCATTACCTTCTTCATGAAACCCAGTTTTGTAATCTCAGTGCTTGGGAGGCTGAGGCAGGAGGATTTCAGAGAGTTCAAGGTCAGCCTGGTATGCATAGTTCTAGGGCATCATGAACTACATACATATAGCAAGACCCTGTTGCCGCCATCATCATCATCATCATCATCATCATCATCATCATCATCATCATTTATCCAGTTATTCAAACTTAGCAGTTGCTGGAATACTCCAGGGTCAGACTATACCTAGATTTGAATTTCAGTGATTTCAGGAGATTTCAGTGTGGAGGAAAGTTTGGAATATCTGTTAGGGGTTATTTCAAGGAGCAAATTAGGACCTAGAACAATTCTGGAACAGAGGCTCTGGGACCTTCCTGCCTTTGGTTCACCAGTGATCACTGGAGACTCGACTCACACCCAGGGACTGGGACCCATTGATCTGACAAATTAGGCACATGGAAGGTCTGTGGTAGGAGCCTTCACAGCCCAGCTCCTAGTTAGCAATCATGATTTGCAGTCCTTTGAATTGAAATTCAAAACTGGATGGGCCCGCTGGTCAGCAGCAGTGCACAGGAGGCTGCCTGAGAGGCTAGGAGGCCTCAGCCCATCTTGAGTACTCAGCCTGCCTTCTCCTGCAGAGATGGAAACTAAATGGCTTACCCCCTTGCCTTCTAGAAATAATGCAGTGGAGAGCCTCTTTATTAGCTTGAGTGTCCAAGAAGAGTGCTATACAAATAAACATCGTAAAGCTAGGCGTGGTAGTGCACACTTGCAATCCCAGCACTCGGGAGGCTGAGGCAGGAGGATGGATCGCTGTGAGTTTGAGACCAGCCTGGGCTACATAGTGAGTTCCAGGTCATTCTCAACTACATAGTGAGACCCTGTCTCAAACAAAACCAAACAAAACAAAAACAGATGGTAGAGCTGGGCATATGTAGCTCATCGGCGCTACTCCTGCCTAACAAGTACAAGGTCCAGAGTTCGAGAAAATACTGGGAAAAGTACCAGAAAAAATAAAACAAAAACAAGAGATCATCTCATACATGGGGAGAAGTAGTTCAGAGCAGCTTGTTCAGAGAAGATGCTTTGGAGCTAACTAAATACCCTAAGCTTTGCCCTCTGTTCCATGAGGGTGGTTTCCAGAGTGGCCGGAGAGATGGGTCACAGACCTGTGTGGAGTCTGGGTTCTGGCTCGAGCCATGTCCCTGGGTCCGGAGGTTCTAAGCCTTACGGGAGGAGCAGGCGCCCTCCAGCTGAGGAAGTGAGGCGCAGCCAGGCCACTGACTTGCCCCCAGCCCTCTCAGGTGGCAGGTGACAGTCCCGCCACTCCTAACCGCGGCTCTCTGTTGCCATAGAACCTGAAGGCAGCCAACACGGACCCCACAGCCCCACCCTACGACTCGCTGTTGGTGTTCGACTACGAGGGCAGCGGCTCGGATGCTGCTTCCCTAAGCTCCCTCACATCCTCGGCCTCGGACCAGGACCAGGACTATGACTACCTGAACGAGTGGGGCAGTCGCTTCAAGAAGCTGGCGGACATGTACGGGGGCGGGGAGGACGACTAGGAGGCCCTGCCTGACGGCCCGAAGTAAACACCTCCCAGGGGCTCGGTCCCCTTCCAGCCGGAGACTTCAGAGCCTGTCCGGAAGTGGCCTGAGCAATTTAGAGGGTGGAGCGGCCCGTCTGAGCTGAGCAGGTTGGGCTCTGAGCCCTTCGGAAGGGAAAGGCTGGGGTCGTGTGGCCTCGTCCGGTGCTGACCGCCGCCCAGCCTGGGTCACGGCTGCCTCGGAGCGCTCAGCCCACGACCTGGACCTGGACAGCTCCGCTGCCCCACGCTGACTTTACCTCTGGAATGGATCTTCTCTTTAGAAAGAGACCTCCTACACAACCTGATTGTGGTTTTGAGTAAAATGCTGTTTTCAGAAAGTTAGAGGCAGGTCCTCCGTGGCAGGTCCTCCGTGTCCCCTCTGCCCCTGTGGGAGCACAGCCTGCAGGGCTCACTGCCCTCATGTGATACTCGGGTCTCCAGGCCCTGAGCCTCTCATGTGGGTGAATGCGTCCATTTTTATACCAAGTGTGTCTAGGTTGTCCTGTGTTTTTTATTTTTCTCTATTGGCGTGCTGTAGATGAAGGGTCATGACAATCGTGTAAATGTATTAGAACTTTTTTTATTAAAGGAACTTTTCCCAGAGGTGCGAGGGGAGTGGACTTCTTTTGTAAATATCTGCTTGTGGATTCCCACACCACACCATTCACCCATGTCAAGGGTCCAGTTCAGAGGGTTTTGGGATTTTCAGTGTTAAGGGACAAACTCTGTACATGAGAGAACCACTAACATCCTTCCCCTTGGGCTGAGCATCACCAGAGCTCAGATAAGTCACTTAAATTCTGCTTGCCTCAGAGTTTTAATTTATAAAACAGGGACTTTTTTAGCCAGGCATAATAGCACATGCGTATAATCCCACTAGGAGGCGGTTCTGCTGGTTTCCTCACAAGTGCAGGGTCCTGAGTTTGATCCCCGGTACAAAAAAAAAGCAGGATGTGTGGGCTTGGGGAAGGGACTTGGTGGTAAAGTTGTCATGCATGCCTGAGGAGGCCCTGAGTCAATTCCCAGTGGTACTACAAATAATACAATGGAACCTTTTGCCAGGCATGGTAGTGCATGCTGAACACTCAGCAGACTGAGACCAGACTAGGCAAGTTCAAGGTCAGCCTGGGCTACCTAGCAAGACCCTGTCAAAAAAGTGGAGAAGAGGGGAACAGAGTCTGAGGAAGAGGATCGTGAGTTCAGGGGTATCCTGGACAAATTGGACCTATTCTAAAAACATACAAAGAGTTGGAGACGTATCTGAGTGGTAGAATGGCCCTATGTTTGATCCCCAGTATCATAAATAGAAAGTTCTATGGTAACAAAACGAATAGCTATTTGACACGTGCTATTTGTGTTAGTTGTTAACTACTGCCACTTAGAACTGTTGGGGTAGGCAGCACTTAACTTGCACATATTTTCTTTAAACAGCCTCTGAGGATTTTCCTGCTTTGAAGAAAGACCTCATTGTGTTATTTAATAAAGTTTTTCAAAATCAAGAGAAATAAGTTGGGCACGGTGGCGCACGCCTGTAATCCCAACACTCGGGAGGCTGAAGCAGGAGGATCGCTGTGAGTTCAAGACCAGTCAGGGCTACATAGTGAGTTCCAGGTCAGTCTTAACTACATAGTGAGACCCTGTCTAAAAAAAAAAAAATTGAGAAACAATTAGCCCACCAGGTCACTGTACACAAATGTAAGAGTAAAGCTAGGTGGCAGAGATAGAGTGATTCTACTTGTGCCTTTGTCAAAGTGAAGTAACTTTCAGTTAACCAGAGGAGGAGAATCTGAAGCAGAGCCAAAGAAATTGCTGAAGTGGAAATGAAAGTTTCCTTCCCCAAAGACTGACTCAGTCTTGAAAGCAGTCTTGTGGAGTGCAGCCCTGACTGGCGGCACCAGCCTCACCCAGGACGGACATTTGGGGCGGGCCCTTAGGCTGGGTTTAACCAGCGCCAGGTGATTCTGATGCAGACTTGTGTTTGCAACCATGATTCTTAAAGCAGAGACCCTTAAGGAGAGAAACCAGAAGAGAACTGAGTAGAGGGATCTGCACCACAGCACCTTAGCCCTCTGGCCACTGCTGCCTCCTCTTCAGAACTGCAGTCTGGTTTTGCCTGCCTCTGGCCCTGCTCTGCTGGGACCCTGCAGCTGATAGGGGCCTGGGAGGACTGGGTGTCCAAGCCAGGTGCACCTGCTGCCCCTTATCTTGCCTTCCCGTAGCACCAACCTAAATGAAGTGGGAAACCCTATCTTCACTGGCAGCTAATCAAAACCAAACAGCCACTGTTACAGCCAGGCAACCGGGACTTCTGGAGGGTATCGGAGGAAAAGCAGCCTTCCCTAGCCAACTGTGGCCTCTGAGTGGATCTGGATTCCTTTGGCAGTGGAACCAGTCACCAGCCTGAGTAATTTGGTAAGAAGAGACCTAGGCTAGGCGATAGGGCTGGGTGTTAAGCTTCTCTCTTGACTCCTGGCCTGCCTCTCATGCAAAATGGGATCTTAGTTCTGTGGTCTTTGAGACTTAGAAGATGTCAAAATATTTTTAGCTGGTGAATCACCATTGCTCACCACTCCAACTGGGCACTAACCACAGAAACAATGTGGCTGACTGTGCTAACCAGAACCATCAGAATGCTTGACTCCCTGATCTTTCCATTTTGTAGTTCCCTAGTTTGCTGGGCATCTTATCAATGCTTCCCCCTGTGTATTTCACCCACATTTTGTCTTACATTTATATATATGGCTGCCTTATGGTCTCTGTCACATCCAATTTAGATGTGTTGTCACTCATTTAACCTCACTGTCCGTGAACGTAAGCGATCCAGTGCTGAGCCCGTAACAGTGTGAAACACCTCAGAACATCCATCTTTGCAGATGCTTCAAATCCAGTCTGGGGAAGAGGCAGGAAACGTGGTCCTGGCTGAGATCAGGGTTCTGTGGAGTCTCAAAGCCCAAGTCTCAGAATCTAAGTCAGGCAGAAAACCTAAGAGTGGGCCTTTACTGTAAGAAAAAGTCCTCTCAGCTTCATCCACCTGGTGTGTCTCTACCAACTTGCAGACACAGAAAACTTCCCCCAGTCCACCCTGTTTACAGGAGAAAAGAGCTCCAAAGAAAGGTGTCGCTTTTTCCCCTCGAGTAAAGCCAGGTCAGCCAGGTGCCTTTTATTCTTGCTGCTGACCCGGCATTCGGCAATCCTTTCTCCTCCCAAAGGGGTGCTCATAATTGCAGTCTCTCTCAAGAGGATACAGGGAGAAGACCCAGCCAGGAAGTCCTGCGGAATGGCCGGCGCGCAGGGTCAGGGTGGGGACAGTGTCCCTGGGAAGCCTCTTCCAGGTCAGTCACTGGGGAGTCCATGGGCCCTTGCTCACCTCCTCCCATGGAATTAACCGGCACAGGTTCTGGCCCTGGCACTTCCACAATGAGACCTTGGACAGATGCCTTACCTCTTTGTCTCACTTTTTATTTGGAGATGGGCGTCTCACTAGATCCTGCAGCTGGCCTCAAACTCAAAATTCTCCTGCCTCAGCCTGGTGAGTATCTAGGCTTAGATTTGCACCTCTACACCCCGCTTCTGCCTCACTTCTTATCTGTAAAACGGAAAAGTGATGGGCTGGAGATTTAGCCTCGCAAGCCAAGAGCAAGGGCCTCAGTTAACCACCGGTACCGAAACAAACAAACAAAACAAAACAACAAAAACAAAAACCGGAGAAGTGAATGTAAAGTTGTCGGAAGGACGCATGCAATGGCTACATAAATGTTACTGCTATCACTACCAGTGTGGTCGAGGGGACAGGTAGGGCCAATCAGTGCTCCTTTCTTGCCGCACTCACACCCCTGGTGGAAACTGCCCTCCTAGCGGGAAGAATTCCTGGAGATGCTCAGACTGCGGGCACCTGCTGCAGGGAATGGCTGCTGGGATTTCCCAAAAGGCCCTGCCCCTCACGCCCAGCAGAGGGCGCCATTCACCCGAATCACTGGCTGGCGGCGCCTTCCGGTTTGGCTCTCCAAGGGCGGTTCTGCAGGAGAGGAGAGGCCCAGGACTGGACCCGCAGCCACCATGAGGGAGCCTGCTGGGTGGCAGGAGTTGCCCTGGACACACTGAAGGTAGTGCGGAGGTCAGTATTTAATGGACTGTGCCAAACCTACGCATACATGGAGTCAGTTACATTCATTGTTGCACCTCGGCCACTCTGAGGTTTTATGGGTCTCCTTTTTTATTTGTTTGTTTATGTTTTGGGTACCAGGGGATCGAAATCAGGACCTTGAGCTTGCAAGGCAGGCAGCGGAACCACTGAGCTAAATCCCTGGCCCTATGGGTCTCTTTTTCTGATTGTATCTTGCCCCCCACACCCCGCACCGGAGGTTGAACTCGGGCCCTTGTGCTTGTGAGGCAGGCGGCAGAACCACTGAGCTAAATCCCTGGCCTATGAGTCTCTTTAAAAGGAAAGTGAAGCTAGCTGTGGTGACTTATCCTTGTAATCCTAGCACTCTGGGAGGCTGAGGCAGGAAAATCATAAGTTTGAGCCCACCCTGGGCGATTTAGTGACTTAGTGAGACCCTGTCTCAAGATAAGAAAAATATAAAAGAACTGGGGTACAGCTCAGGGTGAAGGCCCTGGGTTTGATACTCAGTACTGCAAAAACAAAACAATCCACACACAAGTCAGTAAATACACTGTATAGTAAAAATACAAAATAAATCTGGGGTAACTAGTGAGAGAGGAGCTGGGGTGGGGGCTCGGTTCCAGTAGTCAAGAAAGGCCTTACTAAGATGGTAACATTTGAGCAAAGGACAAAGGACATCAGGGGGCAAAGCATGTAAGTATCACATCTTAGTAGCCAGAACAGTGCAAAGGCCCTGAGGCAGGAGTGCACTTGGCAGGAATCAGCAGGGAGGCTGAAGCAGAGTGAGAGGGAGCCAGATTGTGATAGGAGGTGAGGTCAGAGAGGTAAAGAGGAAAGCTCAGGGCATCTAATCCTGGGCATCCTCCTCCATACATGGGCTGGAGGTTGAGTTTAGAAGGGCCAGGCTCAGCAGCCTCGGAAAAGGCCTGACTCAGCTCCATCCTGGAGCTGGCAAAACTTGACTTTTCACTGAGACATCCTCAGTTACTAAGGAGGAGGCTGGGCCTGTCAACATCTGTAGAGCAGGGAGGCAGGAGCTGCAAGATTCCTCTGTCTCCTCCCTCCCTCACCCCACCCCACCCCACCCTGCTGTCCACCCCCAGAGGACCCCTGTGTGAGGAGCAGAACCCTGCATAAGTGTGCAGCCTCTGAAGGGGGAGATTAAGGAGCTTGTGAGGTGACATTGCAGAGTGCTCAGTGTGGGCTCCAGGTCTGCCCTGAGGTCGGGGTTCCATAAGTGCTGACTGCTATTGTTACTGTCTCTGCTACTTATTTCTAGGCCCTTCCCAAGTCAGGGGAGCCAGAAGCTGCTCACTTCAGCTGCAGGGCGGTGGTGACCTGAGAAGGAGTCTGAGAGAGGGTGGGTGGGTCAGGATACTGGGTTTGGGCCCAACTACTCCTGTCCCTACTGCCTTCCAGTAAGCCAGGCTGGTGGCTGATTGAGCAAGACAGGGAGGCTGTTATGTGTTACCCCAGACATCTGATGACCAAAACGCT